AGAAGGAGAGGTGTGGGTGGGGGGGGGGGGGGGGGGTTGTAAAAAGTGAAGAATATTCAACTAAAAACAAATATGATCAATGTTGTTGCTAACTTAAACTCAATCATAAGTATTATCTTAATGATGATGAGTGTGTTAAATAATTACAATTATCACTTGGCATATTAGTCAAAGGATTATGAATTATGATTACCTAATCCTTAACTTTATGCTTAGTTAAAAGCCACAAACATCATAAGGTGAAAAATTAGAAAAATGAAACATGGAAGAAATAAATATGGTGTTGAGTGACATGTGTGCAAATGATGTGGCAACGCCTAATCAAAACAAGAACCAATCAAAAGTCGTTACGTATTCAAATGACAAAGCTTGACTAATCGCAAGCAACCTTATTATATGCTATAAACTTGATGACTTACATGTACTAATCAGAATCAATCAAGAGAATTCATTTACACTTGAATGACATATTCCCTACCACTATAAATAGAGGGGTTACATAACTTTTCTTAGGACATTCAGAACATTATTGGAGAAAGCATTTTGCAGTCAGTGAAGGTACTCAACACTCGATTCTTAGATACATCAGAAGGAGGTCCACATCATTTTAAGTTCGAGAAATATGTTGTCTCAATTTTTGAATCACGAAGAATTTAGGAGAAAAGAATCAAGATAACAACATAATTGCATGAACTTCAAAAAAAAATTAAAAAAACTAAATCCATATTAAATACTAAATACTGTGTCCAAATAGGACACCCCATGATTTTTTAACATTTAACATGTAAAAAATGAAAAATGAAAAGAAGAAGGGATTAGTCATTAGTGTAAGAGTCATAAGGCCCAATGGCCAAGAAAAATAAGCCCATACTGGGGCTAGACCCAATCCATGTGCTTATGAACAATTTTGATATATATATATTCTATCTTAAAGAATAATAATTTTTCACTTGAATTCAAAATTAATGTTTGGTTATAAAGTTTTCAAATTTAATTTGGAATTGGATTAAATTCCGAATTTTATTTTTCAATTCCACCTTCATTATTTTCAAATAACCTGTTCTCCTCCTTCCTTTGCAAAAAGTATAACTAAACATAATTCTATCTTCAACTTCATAAATTTTTAAAAAAATAGAAAAAAAAATACAAAATCCATCGGCAAACATCTACTTCATTTTTGTATCCTCGTACTCTAGATCTTATTGTCATTCTTAGAGGTATAATTTCATAAGTAGGATTTAAGAAGTTTGGTGTATATATATGTATAGCCTTGTTCATATTCCGTGAAGGATGAAAGATTATTTTCAATAAACCCGTTGAATTTAAATTGTTATTAATAATTTTTACACATATATTACAAAGAAATATTTGGTGTACGAAATATATGGAAAAAAATCAAAGATCTATTTTTATAAAGTTAATTCACCTGCCAACCGCACTACTGATTACACAGTGGTATTTTGAGTCACTTTTGTCAAATGGACCAAGTCAATAATTTCAATTCCCATTTATACAAAAAAAAAAATTAAAAAAACAAAAAAAAAACATCAAAGTTTCTTAGTGATCCTAAATAATTATAAATAAAAATAATAAGACAATTATGAAATCTTCAACTTGATTTAATTAATATATAGATAGCGTGATAATGCAATGTCCTAGACCAATTAATACCCAAACTTTATTTAATATGTATAATATCTCTTTTTGATATAATAGTACTAATCTTCTTATTATTTCAAAATAATAGTAACTCTTTTTCCCCAAGTCCCAATGTAATTCATATAGTACCATGACTAAGTGCCCCTAGCTACCAATAATTGGAGTACAATACAATTTTGTTGTATACTCTAATAAATACGGTTCAATTTCAAACAAGATGGAGTCGATTATGTTACTTTTCATCGTTTATATTGTTTTATTTAAACACATCTCACTTCAAAAGAAGCTCTTCGACCAAGAATATATATTCTGATAGAAAGTTGACTAATATAAGTATAAAGACAAAAAGAAAAAAGAAGAAGCAAAGTTCACATTATATGATTTTTACACTAATTATATACCAATAAAGACAAGTGTTTTTGACCTTAATATAGGGAACATTTAGGCTCATATCACCCTATACATATATTTATTATATTATTTATGACTTATAATATATAGTATAAAATTATTTTTGATTGAAAATTAGAAGGACATAGAAGTTTCCTTATAGCATGTGAAATGCCTCGAGATGATATATTTAAATTAGGAATAACTCCACTTATATATTATCAATCAAAGATGTAGCTAACATCCACTTGAGGACCAAGTTCTTTTATATTGACCAAGAGGTTTATGTCTATCTAAAATAGAAAAATAAAAAGTTTAGACTATGATTTCAAACACATTATTAATTGGTATATATATATATTGTTAGGCAATATGCATTATGCAACTAGGCAACCCCTAACATAAATTTCATGTATGTGTAGTTATCCATATGATTTTTTCAACTTTAAATTTTCTTCAATATCGTAAAAATAGAGGTAACGTCTATCTATCTATCTATCTATCTATCTATCTATCTATCTATCTATCTATCTATCTATCTATCTATCTATCTATCTATCTATCTATCTATCTATCTATCTATCTATCTATCTATCTATCTATCTATCTATCTATCTATCTAT